AACTCCAAACGAGACAGAAAGACACTACACAAAGAACTGGTAACCATACATCGGATGGTGCTTTGTGCTGTGGAGAAGAATCACAGAGTGAAGGCAAAGGGAGTGGGTGGGCAGGGTTGTCAGCGCCTTACCCTGGTGGAGAAGGAAGGAGGGCCGGCACCAGGGGAGAATGCTCCAGGAACAGGAGAAGAGCAAGGGCCCAAAGCTAGAGTGGGAAGAATAGCTCGAGGCCTGTGGGCTGAAGCGGAGGGAGGGTGTGGGAGGAGAGAACCTATGGATGCCTGGGACTAGGCATGAAGGGACTTTGGCTTTTTCTCTGGGAAGGAAGGAAAGCTTTGGAAGGCTTCAGGCAGAGGAGTGAGATGATCTGATGTAAATTGTAAAAGAATTTGCTGGTAGCTGCCTAGAGAATGCCGTGTGGCTGGGGCAGAAGCAAGGGCCAGCCCCTGGCCCCCCACAGGCTCCCCAGGAGGAACGACGAGATGACACATGAACACTGGGACAGGCCTGGCACGGACTAAGTTCAGTCCACAGGCGCTGCTGCGGATGCGGCGGGAGCTGCCTCTCCCTTGTCTCCTGTGGACCGTCTTGCCCACGAAGGAATGTGGTCCCGCACTCTCGGCCAGCGCCCACAGTCTACCTTTCCTGTAGTTACAGTGCCCCGCCGTTGCCCAGCACCCAGCTGAATGTGCCCTCAGGCACTCCCTCCAACTTGCATCTTGATGACAGCCTTCCCAGGGTCAACTGATGCCTCCATGACCTGGATCTGGCTCAGGAGATGCACCGGCCCTGACAGCCAACCACCGCATTGCAGGTGACCACAGCCCAGACAACTACCACTTCTCAGAGGTCTGCCGCTCAGTTCCCGCAGCGGTCACCAAGGTGCGCCCTGCCAGGGCATGGGCATTTCCCCTCGGGGGATCCCCGACTCAGCGTGTAGCACTCAGCATGAAAGAGGTGAACACCAGACACACCAAAGTGATGACTCTCTCCTCCCCATCCTGTCCTCCGGGCACAATAAGCCCCATTTCCACTGGCTGGAACTTCCCCTCCTGGACCTCTCAAAGCAAGCCTACTACTTAAGGGTATCCCCCAGGCTAATCTGTACGGCCACATGGTCAAGGCCACATCCCAGTGGCTGGATCTCACACAATGTTGGGCACACTCTGCCCCCATGAGCAAGCCATCCCCTTATTTACACAATGCGGATGACACTAAGCTCATGAAAAGGGCCCACAAAACCACCAATGCCAGCACTACCGGTCTACACCCCTAGGCGTTGCCCTGTCCTATCCAGGGCCAGATGGACAGGACACTGGTTGATGTTCTCAAGTCTGGTCCTTGGCCCATGAGTCCAGATCATGCATCTAACCAAATGCACATGCCTATGTTTGTGTCAGAGTATGACAGGACTCGTGGCCCTCCACTGGCCCAGGTAGTAAAGGAACATGAGTAATTAGAAGCCCCAGAGGTAACCTGGCTCATCTGTGCCACTCCCTACAAACCCCTTCCCGATGACCCAACCCCCTGAACGCACCTGCACGCTCTACTAACTCTGACAGTCACCTTAACATTGTCCCGACTGCCCCAGGATGGGACTCCGCTGGTCGTGTTCCCGGGGACAGGTGATGGGCCGTTTCCCTGCCCACTGCCCTGTAGCTGAGAGTGTCCTTAGGGGCAGGAGAAGGGAGAGGAAGCGCTCACAATATGATCACACGAGGAAAAGAGCAGATGCAGCAGAGGAAATGTCCAGGGTCCTGTCAGAACCTGTGACATGAACAGCGCTGGCACTTGCGGCTTTCACCGAGGGCGCAGTTCCCTAACTGCCTGCCAGGGTGGCAGGTAACAGACCAGCTGCAGGTGATGCTGGCTGCCCGGGAGTACGAGCCTCCAGAGAACTTCCTGCTGTACGTGGATAAAAATGCAGGCAAAGTAATCCCAATAGCCCCCCAAACCCAACTGTACACGATGTGCCCTGAACTCCCTAGGACCTGGATGTCCCTGGCAGCCTGGGTGACCGTGTTCCAGGGCCCTCTGCCAACAAGTGAACTTTATGTACTGAACTGACTATGTAAAATCGATACAGCCTACAAACATATTAACAAGAGTCTTGGCACGGGGAACCAATGTCGGGAGGTGAATTTTGAAGAAATTGAATTGGGTGCAAAAATTAGCTCCCAGCAAAATGAATTGTGGGCAAACCGTTGATACCCACCAGGGCAGAAACCATCAGACACCCAGTCCCCCCAGTTTGCCACACCTAGTAGGTCATGCAAGGTAACCCGCCCTGCCCCTTTTTAATTTTCCCTCCTCAGCTTGTCCCCACTGGAATAGAGCACCTGAAATCAATCTGCCCCCTCCGCCACCTCCTGGCATTTGCCATCAGGTAGGCTCCTGTTTTGTATCTGTGTCTCCAGGACCATCTCCCTGCAGATGTCAGGGTGCCTTCTTGTCAGTGGGATCCTCACCCAGGGACTTCCCTCACTTCGCTAATGCCTGAGTCAGTAATAACCCTTTGAGTTACTTGTGACTGTGGCTCAGATATGATGCATTTGACAAACCGGTTGCCAAGTTGGACCAAAACAATATTCCTGTGAAGGGAAATAGAACCGGTCATGATTCCATCACTCCCCCAGAACTGCACCTCCAACTCCTGACCCCATGCATGAGCCTCACGCATGCCATTTCCTGCCATCCATACCTGTTCTGCTTACCGGGTTGGCTAGGAGAAGCTGCTTTGAAATTACTGGCTTTTAATCCCTACTCAGTCCTCACTACTTGATCCTCAGTAGCTCTGTGAGCTGGAGCAAGCTCCTTAACTATTTTTTATCCTCACCTGAGGATATTTTTGCATTTATCTTCAGATAGAGTGGGAGGGAGAGAAGGAGGTAGAGAGAGAGAGAGAGAAACATTGACACAAGAGAGACACATCGACTGGTTGCCACCCACATGACCCCAACCGGGGCTGGGGACACGTGCCTTTAGCGGGACACGTGTAACTGAGGTACATGCCCTTAGGGGGAACCGAACCCAGTTCTCTCTGGTCTGCGGGCCAGCGCTCTAACCGCTGAGCCAAACTGGCCAGGGCAAGTTTTCTGTAACTCAGTTTCCTCATCACATTGCTTCCTTTATTGAGGTGTTGTAAGGACAAACAAAAAACATTCCAGGTAAAGTTCATAGTACAAGCTTGACACAAAGACCATTCCCAGGTAGTTACTCATCAAGGGGCAACTCAATGCCTACTTCCTCCAGAAAGCTGTCCATGCCTTGTCCCACTACAGTTTCTCCTCAATCCAATCCGATTGCAGTTTTGGTTGGCACCTTGCTGTAGATCATGTATTTGTTCTCCCTTGCACATGTGTTCATTTGGACTTCCCAAATAAGAGACAAAGGTCCCTGGAGGAAGGGACCACATTGTACCTTGCTCTCCTACTACTTGCTGTGTCTTCTCACACTTTCTTCTCTTGGGATTGAATTTTGTCTCCGGAATGGCAAATACATGGCATGTGTGCCCACATGATCCCACTGCACAGTCTTGGGAGACACTAGTATTCGATATGATTCTATTCTCCCTAGAACCTGGGTTCAGACTCAGAGTCCTTCTTAACCCAGTGCTTTGGAAAATGCCTACTAATTTATTCAATAAACATGTATTGAGTACTTAATAAGTAATACCCCCATTTCGTATTCCGGGCATAAAACTTTGGGCATCTTGTCCCTGCACTTATGGAACTTGTCACTAAGTGGGAAAAATGTGATAAGCAAACACAGAAATAAGAAAATATCAGGTGGTGATAAGCACAATGATGAAAACCAAATAGCGGCGTGTTAGTGCCCAGAGAGGAGGCTACTTTGCATTGGGTGTCCAGAGAAAGACCTTCCGAGGTGCTGGAAATTCTGATCCGGTACACGTGGTATGGGCCTAAGAATATGTGTTGTCAAAAAGCAAATGCAGAGAATTTGGTAAACACTGACATGGTGAGTAAGAATAAGGGTATGGAGTCAGAAAATCTAGGCTCAAGTCCCATTTCCCACACTTACAGAGTTGTGTGACCCTGGGCGAGCTATTGACCTTCTCTCACCCCCAGTTTCCTTACCTGTAAAATTGGAATGCTGCTACTACTGACCGCAGAAGGCTGTTATTGGGATAAAATAAGACAAAACCTAGAAAATGCCTGGCACATAGTATGTGCTCAATAAAAGGTAGCTATTATTTGCAACAATAGGCCCATCCATTCCTAAATGTAATCTTTTGTCTGAATTACTCAGAAGACAAATCCAACACATGAGTTGATTTTTGCCTAATAAAACGGTTCCTCTTGAAAGATACATTCTCAAAAGACCTCCCGTGAGCGAGAATGCCGGAGTCCAACGAGTAAGTGTCCTGTGGCTCTCATTTAGGCAGGTTTCAGATTTGAAATGACTTTGGCCTAATTTCCTCTCCTATCAGATGGAAGCCTGGCTACTCGCCGTAACTTGGGGAGGGGTGAGGGGGGTGATTTGTGAGACCCAAAGGAATGGGAGGTCGGCAAAGCGTGAGACGCGAACAGAACACTGGCCTCCTCGGCCCAGCGGGAGCACCCAGCCGAAAGGCCACGGCAGCAGTGATAAGGACAGCTCCTGATACACCGGCCTGAACATTTGGAGAAGTGCGCCACACCTTCACAGTTATAAACTAAACTGGTACATAACGGAGAAGAAGAAGAAGAAAAAAAAAAAAAAAAAAAAGTTGGGCAGGAAGCAGCCTTTCAACCAGTGAAGAAACCGTTAGAATCCATCCCTTTGCCGATGCCAGAACTCCGCCTGCCCCTCCCAGCCTCACTATCAAGGACCCTCAGACTCTCAGAAGGCCCTGGGGGTATTTGTCCTTAGTTATCAAGGACCTGTGGAAACATCCCTCTAACTGAAGATAACGAACTTTTTCCCCCTCTCTCTTTCTCCATTCTACTTCTAGCTCCTGCCAGACAGCTCCCTCATTTTCTCTGTGACAACAGTTCTGAAATGAAGATATTTTTCATCCTGGACTTGAAGTAACTGGTAGAGAGGCAGGTAAGATGAGTTTTATTCCTTCATTTGTTCGTTCATTCCTTCAGTCAGTATCGGTTGGGTACTTACTACGTGCTAGAAACCGCGCAGGTAGGGGCTTGCAGTCTTTGGGGGAGCCGGACAGAGCTTAACAATCATGAAATGTAGAATGACACACTGTGACCCGGCCTGGGAGTAGCATCTTCTATTGGTGGGTCCTCACCTGGTCACGGGGGCTCAGGACCCCTCCCTGAAGAAGTAATATTTGAGCTGAGAGAGCGTGTTTCATACTTTGCTGGATTTCACTCTTGCCCTCCAAGTGGGAGTTTTCAGGATTAAAAGGAGGCCTCCGGGCCCAAAAGACTTGCTGCCGTCCCCTGCCAGTGCTGCTTCCAATACCAAGTCACGATTGCTCGACCCTCGTGAAGGTTAGGACGGAAATGACTTATTGGAGTGATAGAGGAGCCAGCATAAACCTGCCAGGACCTCCTTCAAGATTCAGTTCGCTTTGCAAAAGTTGCCAGATAAAAGATATTTCCAGATGGAGGGCCACGTAGGAAATACAAATGGAATAGTTTTTAATAGCTCTTCCTTTGCAAGATATGACCCCAGGCAGCCTCCTGCAACATGACGGGCAGCAGTGTCTCCTGAAAGTGTGAGGGGGGCTGAGCGGGCCCTGGGGCCTTTGGAGAGGGGCCGTGGCCTGAAGGGGCATTAAAGATGCTCTACACCCCTCCCTCCACTACCCCCCAAAACGGAACCTGTGCCTGCTCCACTCCAACCCCCAGATTCTCAGAGGAGAGGGCAGACAGGTATCTATAAGGGCGTGAGGTTCCTTTAGGGTGTGGCTTTGCGTGATAACAAACTGTACCCTTTCTCCCTGTCCTTGGAGCCGTCAGGGACCAGCCTGGCTCACAAAGGCCCCAGTGGGCAAGGATTGCCATTAGGGCACCTGGAGAACATCTCAGCGTTCATGGGACCGGCTTCCGCAGAGCACTGGGGTTGTTAAGTGGGTCTGGAGATGAACCTGAGAAGGCTGTGAGCCCCCAGAAATGACAGGTACAACTCTGCCCCTTGGCACAGATGTGCCCCTAGAGAATGCTCTTTAGCTTTCACCAGCTTTTTAATTGTGGTAAAATGTATGTAACACAACATACCATGTGAACCAGTCCCAAGGTCAGTGACATGAAGCACATTGACATTGTTATGCAGCCGTCACTGCTATCCATCTCCAGAACTTTAAAAAAAACCTCTCATTTATTTATTTTTTAATATTTTAAATTTTCATTTGCAGTTGACATTCAATGTTATATTAGTTTCAGGTACAGCATGGTGGTTAGACATTTCTATGTCTCCAAGATTTCTTTTATTCTCCCAAACTGAAACACTTTACCCCTGTACCCAATGAACAGTAACTCGCCCCCACCCCCCCGGTCCTTGGCAACCACCATTCTACTTTCTGTCTCTAAGACTCTGACTACTCTAGTTACCTCGTATGAGTGGAATTACACAGTCTCTGCCCTTTTGTGACTGGTTTATTTCACTATGTATAATGCTTTTAAGGTCCATCCATGTTGTAGCATGTGTCAGAATTTCCTTCATTTTTTAAGGTGAAATAATATTCAATTGAATGCCTATTCCACTTTTTTAAAAACCCATTCATCTGGTCATGGACACTTGGGTTGCTTCCCTCTTTTAGTCACTGTGAATAATGCTACTATGAACGTGTACGTACAAATATCTGTTTGAGTCCCTGATTTTAATTTTTTGTGGTATATACTCAAAAGTGGAATTGCTGGGTCACATTTTTAATTTTTGAGGAACCTACATACTGTGTTCTTTGTAGCTGCACCATTTTATACTTTCATCAGCAGTGCACAAGCTTCCCAATTTCTCTACACCTCCTCCAACACTCATTTCTTGTTTTTGTTTTTTTAATAATAGCCATCCTTTAATGGATATAAAGTGGTATCTCACTGTGTCTTGATCTACATTTCTATAATGATCAGATGTGGAATACCTTTCGATATTCTTATTGGCCATTTGTATATCTTCTCTGGAGAAATGTCTATTCAAATTCTTTGTCCATTATTCAATAGGGTTGTTTGGTTTCTCTGTTGTTGAATTGTAGGAGATCTTCATATTTTCTGGATATTAACCTCTTATGAGGTATATGGTTGAAAATTATTTTCTTCTGTTCCGTGGGTTGCTTTTTCACTCTGTTGATAATGTCCTTTGGTTCCTTTGATACAAAAACATTTTTAACTTTGATATAATCCAATCTGTCTATTTTGTTGCCTGTGCTTTTGGTGTCACATTGAAAAAATCATTGCTAACTCCAGTGTCATGTGGATTTCCCCTGTTTTCTTCTGGACTTTAGCTACCAGGGTTTTTAAGAGGTCTGTGACTGACAACAGATGGGCCTTCCTCAATACTGATTTTAGGGAGACCTTCCTCCCCAAATGTGAAGACCCTCAATACTGATTTTGGGGAGACCTTCCTCACCAATGTGAAGACCCTCAGGTCTTGGTGAATGTCAGTGTGACCCTTGAAATTGGGAAATTGACAACATGGATGTGATATCTGAAGCCTTTAATTCAAAAGGAATTATTGAATATCTCCAAATTTATATCAGTACCCTGGGAGCTAATAAAAATGACAACCATAGCCTCTCTTCTCCAAGAACGTAAGTCACTTTTGGGATAGCAAGAAGCTATACAGGCATGAAATCATTGTCCTGGGAGACTGAGTCTAACGAGCTCGTAACCAGGCCCTACAGCCATGAGCTACAAGAACGCAGGAAAGGATCAGCCACCATGATCTTCAGGGAACAGAGAACGCTTTAGGTTTGAGCTGGGCCCAGGTTGATGGCCACAACTGGGAGAAGCAAAGGGGCCTGGGGAGGATTTTGTGCTAACTGCAGTAATGATTGCCATTTACTGAGCACTTTCTATGTGCCAGACACCGTGCTCTGCCTGCTGCATACATGATCTCAGTTACTCCTCCTAACCTTACATTTATCATTGTCTCTATTTTATCATTGCAAGCACTGAAGCTCAGAGATTTGCCTAAGATTAATTACCCAGATAGTAAGTTGTGAAGCAGAAACTCAAAACCAGTTTTATTTATGTCCAACGCCTCTATTCTTAACCAGTCTACTATTTTAGCACCGAAGTTTTGAAACACAGGCATCCCAGATGGAGAGAACAGAATAAGACAATGCATCAAAATGGGTACAAGCAGGATGTTTGAGGTCAAGGAGGAGCAAGCAGACTGGCTGGAGGGGAAGGTTCAGGCTTTAGGCATGAGGGGCACACAGATGAATTGATGGAGTGGGCAGGATGACGGGGCACCGTTAACGGAAGCACAGGGAGTTTGGTCTTAGTCTGCCAGAAGAATAGGATCACACATCGAGCTGCAGCTCTAACCTTCCAGTCCACCTCTCTCCTTTAAAGCAATGAGAACATTGAGGACCCGATAGGTTCAGTAACTGCCGATGGCCGCAGGCAATAGGGAGCCACTGCAAATTCTTGAGCAGAGTGGTGACAGTGAAGAAAACAGTATTCCAGATATGTTTGATTGGCAATAACACACATGAGGGGCCCCTGAAGGGAAGCAGAAGAAAGCACACAGCTCTTTCCCTAGTTTTTGCTGAAGGGTATTTCTAGGGAGCATCATAGACAAGATCCTTCCTGCTGATGAGGTTTGACACTTAAGAAGGTAAGCGGCATTAGGAAGGTCAGAATTGCCTTCCCCACCTGGCTCAGTACCTGCAGCTAGGACATGAGTGCCAGAAAACAGCTTCCCGGAAGCAGCCTGGCCCCTTCTTCCAATGGAAGGCCTGTCTGCAGGGCAATGTCTCAGACCAGAGACCCTCAACTCTGGGCCAGATGTCTGTAAGCCTAACCCACCTCACCGTAGGGGCACAGAGCAGGTGAGACCAGGCAAGAGTCCCCCAGGCAAGGAGACCGAGCCCACTCTGCTTCGGCTGAGCCCTCGTGGTAGCAGAATTCCATTATCCACCCTTGTCCAGCCAACAGAGGCCTGCCCTGGTTGACTATCCTCCTCTGAGGTTCTCGGCTTAATTAATTCTAATAATAGCTGCCATCCATTGAGCATTATGCTAAGCATTTGACATGCATGATCTCATTTTATTCCTACAAACCTGTGATGAAGATATAATTATCCCCATTTTGCACGTGACAGAACTGAGGCTCAAAGTAGTCAAATAATTTGCCTAAAACCACGTAGCTAAAAGAGCCAGGACTAAAACATAAGTCTCTATTTCCAAAGCCTGTGCCTTTACCCCTATGGTCACCTGTGTTCTACAAACTGGGTCATTGCAGCCACATCTCCTTGTGGGCTTGGGAGCCCTACAGTGGAGAGTCAAGCTTCAAAGAGTGGCCTCATTGTTTCTTTTTTTTTTAAATTATTATTATTATTTTTTAATCCTCACCTGAGGACATTTTTTGCATTTATCTTCAGATAGAGCAGGAGGGAGAGAGGGAGGAAGAGAGAGAGAGAAACATCAACGTGAGGGACACATCGAGTGGTTACCACCCACATGACCCCAACCAGGGCTGGGGACAAATTGCAACTGAGGTACGTGCCCCTGGAAAGAACAGAACCCAGGACTCTGGTCCGTGGGCCAACGCTCCAACCGCTGAGCCAAACTGGCCAGGGCCCTCATTGTTTCTTGACACCCCTGTTGAGTGTTTCTAGTATCAAAGAGCCTGATCTTTTTCCCCAACTAAATCCTTAGGCCCAAATCTGAATATCTAGGCCCTTATCTTCTCCCAAAAGGGGTGCTTAAGAAACACAAAGGATCTTCCAGGTCCTTCACAACTTGCACCCAGAGAATGTAGTGCAGGTGTGCTTTGGCAAGGGGAGCAGGGCTGCCATTTGTACATTCATTCATCCAGTGAATTTCTCTGCAGGGCCCGCTGCTTGCTAGGCACATTCTAGGTGCTAAAGATGCAACTGAAAACAAGTCATAAAGAATCTAGCCTCACGGAATTTATGTT